AGCTTTCAGGTTCACGAAATCGAGAGATGGGGAGAGGGGAGAAATAACAAGAATGCAACGCTTTAACTGAGACCCAACTAATACCAACCATTCGATCCATCAGATTGTCGCATGCGCACCTTAGTGTCTACTTTGATGATGCGGGATTAGGAGTTTAATTAAAAAATAATCATAATTGGATATCTTTTCATATATTAAAAATTCATACATGATATTATATTTTAAATTGATCTATTTGACAATTAGAATTTTACAAAATTGATTCGGTTGAGATCCGAAGAATGTGAAATTTAAGATATAATTTTAAATTGCTGAAATTTTACTTGTTTTTTAAAATTGGGTGTTACAAGGATACCGTTGCAATTAAGGAGATTTTTTTCCGTTGTGCTAATGTATTCACCACTGTTGTCTGTTCGGTGGATTATCAATTTGGTTTGAACATGTCTTTCCGTCATAGTGATAAAATTTGTGATTATGTTGATTGCTTGAGATTTGTTTTGCTTCGAGTAAAACCAGCAAAAGCAAGAGTACTCCAAAATAAAAGAAATTTAATAGTGGCCTCCTTGATTAGAAATAACTGGGGAAGGACCGCATTCATTGGAGTGTAATATGGCCAAGGGTTGATAGGTACATATAGTAGAAGTAGAAAGGGGTTATTTGTGACTTTTTACCATTTAATAGGAATTAAAATGTTGTAAAGTTGGATACATAGAGAAGGATGATCCTTAGCTTTGAGCTTCATTGTGGAGCGTTGAGAATGGCCTAATTGATTGTGTCACCTTTCGTAGTTGCTGGTGCTTGTAGCTATGGAGGTGAGGATGGCTGGTTGGAATGGGAAGAGACTGTTACAGGAGTCGCGGAGAAGGATCTTGTTGGTCTGGCTATGCTTGGTGGTAAAATCGATCTGATCGAAGGTGATAGAGCATGTGTTGTCAATGGTGATTTTTTGAACAGAGAAGAGGTTGTATGATAAATGTGGAACAGAGAGAAAAGAGGAAAGGCGAAGCTTATGAGTGGGTGTGGGAAGAAGTACCTGTCCAGTATGAGCAATTGTTGCCCACTGTTATTTGTTGGCAACTGTGGTAGGGCTAAATGTTATGAAGCTGAGTGTGATCTGCTGTAAGATGGGATGTGGCTCTGTGTTGACAACCAATCCTGATTCAGGCTGAGCTGTGTTGGCAAGTAGAGCTCAGGGAGGGGCTGGTTGGTAAGATAGATTTATGTGATGCCAACACTTGGCTACGGAATGCCCAATCTTATTGAAGATTTGACTGCAGATTGGTTTTGTTTGTTTGCTTCCCCAATATCTAGATTGTTGGAATTGTTTGGTTGGCAGGTTTGTGTAGTTTGATGTATTTTTGGTGCAGTGAGGTTGGCCTCCCATGACTTTGTGGTCTGTAGCGCTGTGTGGTTGTTGGGCTGAACAGTGAGTTGTAATTAGCTTTTTGCATCAGTGGTTTGGTTTGTTTCTTCGTTGCAGAAAAAAGTATTAGTCGTCTTCAGAGGTTGTAGGTGGGTATGAAGGTGGTAGGCCATTCAACGTATAGTGGATGATATCCTCAGAATTGAGGGTTATTTCAGCAGCTGCTACTGTACCTTTTATGGATTTGATTCTGGATAGGTATTGAGTCATAGTGAGGTCTTTCATGGAGACATTATGTCGGTCATTTTGAGTTGGTTGATTCAGGAGCAATTTGTGGATTGGAGGTGATGTGCTATGGTAGTCCGAATTCCTTACACGTGCAAGACTAATGACGTATGGGAGAAGTGTGATACAAACCAAGAAGATTTTCCACAAAAATTAGGGTAAAGTAAAATATTTTATTTCAATAACCCAAGCAATACAACTCAAATACATAAAGACAAACACTACATTTCGAGAGATAGGTGATTCTCCCAACACATACAATTCAAGAGGTAGACGATCTCTCCTAAACCTTAACCCTAATATTCAAGAATCTCGTGCATGACCCTAACCCTAAACAATTTAGTATTTTGTTATTTATTATTTGATGTATTCCAAATTCCTTGACTCTTCTCTACCTGTCTTTTTCCCATCATTACTCTTGAATCCATGAAAATAGGGAATAGGCAAGGCAATGTACTTTCCAGATCTTTTGCTTTATAAACTTGTCATACCTATAACATTACAAAATTAGTCACTGAACACCCCTCTTTATTGATAGTCAATAAAATCAACTTTCCGTCACATTGATGGTGTTATCCTTGCCATAGTGATCAGCAATTTCTCGGAAGATAACTTATTGGGAAACTTCGTGAATGAAGATTTAGAAATACATTACTATTTATCCTTATATGTATATCCACCAATAACTATAATGGTACTCATAAATGATAAAGGTTTATCTTTGTGCTTATAATAAAATTGTAGAAATTATAACGGGAATATTCTTTCTTAATCATATGAAATTTTGGAATTTTTTATTCTAAAAAAGTTATCATTTTTCTATCATGAATCAAAGCCTGTGTGATATGATTTCTTACTCCCACAAGCCATCATAATCCCTCGCTTTTGCTCAGATGCTTGGCTTTCTTAGCCCAAGCAATCTCCACGCTTGGTTATAGCTTTCAATTGTTTGGTATTCCTATTTGTTCTTGTGTGATGTTCAAGAATTACTAGCTCAACTTCATTTGGTGTTTCTAACAACCCATCTCTCACCCGTTTGAGTGTTAAGTCATGACATGTTGCCTTCCCATGGAGTGTGACAATCATTGGGCCTTGTTCTCCCAGTTGAGCATTCAACTCTCTCTCCTTTACTCAATTATTATAGCTTAATGCCATGACTTCTAACTTCTCTTTTAATCTGAATTTAAATTATTACCCTTGATTATTTTGTTCAGTTCTTTAAAACTATAAACCAATTATTTTTTAATATTTTGTTATGAGATTTTAGGTTTCTGAGAAAATGATGTTGCTTTTACTAAGATTATTTTTTATATTTATTGACTAAATGCTAACCTTGATTTTTTTTTTCTTGCATGATAAGAGAATTGCTTTTAGATTGGTTATTATATAGTTCGTAATGATTTTATATCATTATCTAATGCTTTAAATAAATAAAAAAAAACATTATTATTGTGTGTCTTTGCTATGCATTTTATTTTATTAATTTATAAAAGCGAATATTTCTTGATGTATTGTCATATATTTACAGCTGTTATGCACCATGTCTGTCATATCTTGCTCGCATGCTATGTAAGCATGTGTGCTATATATATTCTTTTTTGATGGTTCAGGCTGTAGGAACAAGCCGAAATAACAGTTTCTAGGTGCAATCATCGGTGCTCTTTAGGAGGGCCACTTGTCCGTTAAGAGATTTTAGGTGGCTGAACTGCCTATCATGCAAATAATGCAGGGTTATTGGTGATTGCCTTCTTACATTGGTGCATGTCACTTTGCTTGATGAACACCATAGCGTTGGGCAGGGGAATTTGTGGAGACCACCAACTAGGCTTAATTGATTAGCCATTGCATAGGGCATTTTTAGGGTTAGTGGTGGGAGTTCTCTATATTTGAGGTGCTTTGCTCCCCAAATAACTAGAGCACATTTTGTAGGAGAAGAGTAAGCCACTGCTGTATAATGAGCAACTTGGTTGGCCTTGAGGTGGTCAGAAGACTTGGGACTTTTAAGGTTCTGTCTGACATTGGGAGGAACAAATCTTTCACCCTACTACAAGATTGACATGAAGGTCTATTATATGACTTTGCTCACTTGTTTCATCTTAGGACATTAATCGGTGCTTTTATGAAGGTTGTGGGACCATTTAGGGGTTCTTTGGGTGGCTCAATGATCTTTATTCAAATGAAGGAAAGCATTATGAGTGGTAGTCTTTGTTCATTTGTGCATGGTACTTAGCTTAACAAGCATATATTTGCAGAGGTCAGGAACCAATATTCTACGAATAATGGATTTAGAGCTTATTGTAGCCACTTCCTCCAAAAAAAAGGTCTGACCCTTCATCATATGGCTAGGGCAAGGTGGTGGTGTAGAAGTCTATTTGTCTTAGAAATCATTGCATCCGTAATGAGTTGATTCGGACTTGGTTCCCTCTAGCTTATAATGGGGATTGATGTTACATTGCACTCGAATCATTTAGGCTATGTCATCTGAGTGCTTTTGGGTATTTGATGTTAGATTTAATAAAAGTTTCTATCAAGCGTCAAAATTAAGTTGCACATAGGTTTCTAAGAAAGCTTTAATTTAATTTTATTTTTGTATTACATCCACACTTTATGCCCCTTGATTCTTCCCTCTTGTATTCTCTTTTAATTGTTATTGGTTGATTTGTAATTAATTTATATATCATTTAATTGGAAGTAGATTGTGGTAAATTTGTATTTTCATATTGAGATATGTTTAGAATTGTTGTGTTTTTTTCTTCTTGGCGGGGGGTGGGGTTGAATTTCATGGAACTGTCGGCTTATATCATGGAGAGTGGACATATATGATTCATACCGATTAAAAGGTCTTTGTGAGAAGCTTTCTCACAACATTGCTTTTCATAACACCGCCACAATTGCAACGGACTGCTACACCATTTTGTAAAGGTGGTTATAAGAGTATTGTGATTAAAATAACTTTTTCGAAAGCCGTTGTGAGTAACAAAAATAATTTCTTTTCGAAAAAATTGAGATTAGCTTTCTTGTAGCCGCTGCATTTAGTACATTTGTTTTTAAAAAAAACTTACCACTAAAAAACTTTTAGAAAACAGCAAAAAAAAAAAACAGTAGCCAAAAGTTTTCTTAAAGGGCTTTACCAGACACTTTGATACCCATATCATGACTAAGATTGGGAAAGGAAGGTTTCATAGGATCCGTATTAATGCTTGGTTATTTATGATACAAGTAGGACAAAATAAACCTTCAGGCTTTTCTTCAGAAAATTAATTGCAATTAGCTTGACCTGATTTATTTTTCTAGACTTGCTTTTCTTTTTATTTAATAAAACATGATTGTTTATTTATGTTCTCTTCTCCAGATGGTTGAGCCTATACTGAAGGCTGCGATGTATCCTTTATTAGCTTTTGATTATGCCGCCTTCTTTATTTTATAATGTCAACCTATTGTAGTTGTTTAGATAGTGCTTTTGACTATAATCATAACTTATGCTCTTTCTATCATCTTTTAATTTTCGTATGCGTGTGACTAATATTATAACAGTTTATCTTCCATTTTTTTGAGGGGAATAAAGTCTGTCATTGATTTTATTTTGGAAGATTTACCTACATACCACTCAATTCCTGTGTATTACATATCTAACTCCTAAACTTTACTTTTCTACATAAATACCACTTATGCTTGAAAAAGTGCATTTCACTTTTTAAAAGTTAAAATTGCAGTATTTTTTATGTAATATGAAAGATTTGGTGGTATAAATGCAAGAAGCAAAGTTTAGGTGATAGATATGTAAATACATAGGGGACTTGGGTGGTATGTATGTAAATGCCCCTTTTATTTAAAGTGCTCAAATCTATTTTGAAACCCATCATAGCTTTATTTTTGCTATAAAAAATTATGTCATTATAACTTCATGTTCTTTATAAATTTTCTTGTATTGAAATTTCATTTTCCTCCATTTGGATTTTCTTCCTTTTTTCAAATTTAGAAATGCCTGGACTTTTATATGAACTTGCCACGATGGTTATCAGTCTCCTTGTTAGGTCGAAAATTTTGTTGTTGGTGAACGTGATAGCAATTGCAGAACAATTCTTTGGCAGCTATCTTCTTTGCATTGTTCTATTAATTATTTGTGAGGTTCTTTTTTTTTTTTGACATTCGCGTTTTATTAGTGGATAATTTATTCTTAGTTAAAATCTAGTCGCACAAATTTAGCGTTATTTGGTCAATTGCTCTTTTTGTATTTAATGTGACTTTGGACCAAAATTTAGTTGTCTTTTTTTTAAGGGCTTGATTGAGATTACTTTTATTTTAGTTTTTATTTTTATTTTAAAAACATGTGTGTCTAATTTTTCTTTTTTTGCATGATTTTATTTGTTTTCAAAACAAATTAGCTTGTTTTTAAAAACACTCAAAACATTTAAAAGTTATTTTAAGTATTTTTAAGAATAATTAAATATGCTATAATTGTGAAATCCCTTGAATAGAATGAAGTCGAACTCTTAAACATTCAGACGCTTTCTGGTGTAACGTTTGGAGTTCGACATCAACTCTAAAGTTAAGTTTGCTCACATGGGAGTAATCCTAGGATAGGTGACTTCCTGGTAAGTTACACCAATGAGACGGAACTATTAGACTATTAGGCCAAAGCAAACAATATCTCGATGAATGAGTGTTCAGGCTGTTACAAATGGTATGAAGGCATTAGGCCAGCCTGAAGACGGGAACTACATATCATGCATAACAAAGTGTTAATGCCATGGGAGCCACTTTTTGAACTCAAGATAGGACAAAGTGCTACATGGTGAGAGCCACCTATTGATTTTATAAGGCCTATATCTAAATTCTATCTGTCTGGTGGATGATTCTAGGCTAAGAGCATTGATGAGAACATTAGTTACTTAAGTGGAGGAGATTGTGAAATCCCTTAAGTAGAATGGAGCCGAACTCTTAAACATCGAGATGCCTTCCAGTGTAATGGTTAGAGTTTCAATAACAATTCTAAAGTTAAGCGTTCTTGCATGGGAGCACTTCTAGGATGGGTGGTCTCCTTGGAAGTTACACCAATGAGACAAAACTGTGATGTCGTTTGGCCAAAGCAGACAATATTTCAACGGATGAGAGTTGTGGCTTTTACAATAATATATCAAATATGTTTTTTTAAAGTAAAAATATAAATAACAAAAAAAAAAAAAAATAAAATAAAATAAAATAAAATAAAAAGTGATCCTAAACCGCCCCCAAGTTCGTAATAGCTTCATGTAAGCCGATAGGTTGACTTGCTGCTCAAAATTTTAAGGGTTCAAAGTAAATGCTTTGACAATTTTGTCTGTAATTGTATGAGGGATGGTGCCACTGCCCTCATCATATCCTACCTCTGAAACTCTTGTACTTTCTATTTGTTCTGGCTTTGTATTGGAAAACAGCATTCCTTAATTTTTTAATGTCATCTGTTTATGCATCGCCATTCTTAAAAATTTCATCCATCATAATAGTTTGTAGTTTATGCATCGCCCTCAATTCTTATTTATTTATACATATCTAACAACCAGAATTTAACTTATATATTTATACCGCTCAAATCTTTCATATCACATCAAAAATACCATCCTTTTAATTTTTAAAAGGTGAAATACACTTTTTACTGAATAGGTAGGTTGACATGTATGTAAAAATTGAAGTTTAAGTGTTAGTTAAGTACATGGGAACTGAGTGGTATGCATTCAACTCGTTTCTGTTGTGAACTGGAGGCTAAGGGATCTAGTCTGGCTCTTCGTGCAGTATCCCTGCAATTTTTGGGCTAAGGCTCTATGCATTTTTTTGATGGTGCTTTATGCAAATAAAATGATTACGCAGTGATCGTTATAGTTTCTTTCAGGCTGTTTTGAATCATAGCCCTACAAAATGTCATCCAAAACTTTAGTTATGCTTTATATATGCTGTTTCATAGATGCTGGTAATAAACTTCAACTATGGGCTTTTGGCATCATGCTCAATTGTAAATGTTCTAAAAGGTCAAAATTATATTCAAACAATACAAAATCTTATTTTTTCTCTAAGCTGATGGCAAAATGGTTTTCTATGTTATACACCATACTGCAGCAAAATTCTTGCTGTTTTTTTGCATTCTTGTTCATTCAGGGCCAGTTTGGCTTAAATTTTATTTTTTTTACTTTTGTATTTTTTTTAAATGTTTTTTAGTGTGATTTTTTCTTGTTATTATTTTATGTTTTTAAAAATAAATTATGTTAAAAAACACTCAAAATAGATTGTCTTTTGAGTAGGGGTAGTAAAAACTTGACTCAACAGGCCAACTCGGCCTGCACCGGCCTCAAAAAATTCAGGTTTGGGTTGATTCAAATAATTTTTGGGTCGGGTTCGCATTTAAATATCCTATTTTGTTTAATTTTTTGGGTTAGGTTTGAGTTGACCTGCCAATTAAAAAATGACCCAAAAATAACCTTCAATTCGAAATTGACTAAAAATTGACCTGCCTACTCGGAATTGACACGATATTGACTCTAAATTAATCCGAAATTGATTCAATTTTAACCTAACGGGTTTCCTTATGTTAAACTTGTTATACCTGTCAGAATGGCAGGTTGAAGGTTGTTTGGGTTTAGGTTTGGCTTCTCGCTGATGATATCCTTCTTATGGATAAGACTAGAAAAGTAATTCAGAAAAACTTGAATTATGGAGGTCTATATTAGAGTCTAAAGGCCTTCATTTGAATAGAACTATAACTGAATACATTGAATGTAATTTTAGTAGCAGTAGTGCAAGTGGCAGAGTTGTAACTATGGGTGATCAAATCATTAAAAAGTGAAGGTTTTAGATATTTTAGGTTTTTTGTTCAAAATGATGGTGATATAGATTGGGATGTTATTAGTAGAATTCAGGTTGGTTGGTTGAAGTGGAGGAATGCATTAGGTCTATTGTGTGATAGAAAAATACCGCTTAGATTTAAATGAAAATTTTATAAGATGGTGGTGAAACTTGCAATGATTTATGGCGTAGAATGTTTCTCTTTCAAAGAGAAGCATAAGACTAAGTTAAGGGCCTGTTTATGACAGTTTTCGGCATGCTTTGCTTTTCAGAACTGTTTTCTTGCTGCTTTGTGAAATTTTTGTGGTAACTGTTTTTTTTAACCGAGTTGTGGTTCGACTTTATAAAAATAAAATATATTTGTAATAGCCATCGCAGCTTTTTGAAAAAAAGTTTTTTTCTGCAGCAGCTTCACAACTGCTTCTTCAAATAGCTGCAACTGCCCCAAACAAACCTTTAAGTGTTGCGGAAATGAGAATGCTTAGGTCGACGAGTGGCTTGACAGTTAGATATAAAGTATGAAATGAATCCATCCGTGAAAGTGTTGGTGTAGCTTTAGTTGCAAAAAAGTTTAGAGAGAGCTTACTTAGATGGTTTGGTCACATTAAACATCGAGCATTTGATGATCTAGTTAAGAGAGTAGATGTTTTAGATTCAACTTATCTTAAGAAAGGCAGAGGTAGTCCTAAAAAGACTTGAGCATATTGTATAAAAAATGATCTTAATCTAGTAGAATTACATGAAAATATGATATTCAATAGACAAAATGGAGAAAAATGATTCATGTAGCCGACCCCACTTAGTGGGATAAAAGCTTGTTGTTGTTGTTGTTGTATATTATTTGGGCCGGGTTCAGGTCGAATCATCTTAGATTCAGACTCGAGCTCGATCTGCTGACCTGAATTGATACCCCTGGTTTTGGGTATTTTTAAAATTAGTCATTGTAACCAAATGTGTTTTATTTGAAACGAAAACCTTAAAAAAATTGAAAATAAAAGGAAAAAAAATAAAATTGATCCCGAACGGCCCTTCAGAAAAATAGTCTCTTCATTCTTTAATGAAAAGCTTTAGTAATATCAACGGTTTTTCTGGAGCGTTATTTTCCATTATAAACTAATTCAAAATATAGAATGGGAATTCAATCATTCCTTGCTTAGAACTTGTATAATTTGATCTATACCTGCTAATATTGGCATCTATATCTCAGCTTACTTTGTGATGGTGTTTGGATAAAACTAATGATAATAATTTTTCACCTTTCTTTTGAGACAAAGTTGCAGTTTATAGTTGAGCCTGTTTTTCTCATCTGACTTTTTGTGGGGTTGGCATGTCAATTTTGAATTGTTAAGCTACGAGACACCAATATTTTATTGCACGCTAGTTTATGTTTGAAATTTGCATGGATGCAGCAGCATGACTAGGCTAAGCAATTTTCAACTCTTGATGTTTTTGTATAGGAGCATTTACATACACACCACCTAATTCTTATGTATTTACATATCTAGCACCTAAACTTCAATTTTTACATGAATACCACCCAAATCTTTTATTTCACATCAAAAATACCACTTTTTTAACTTTTAAAAAGTAAAATACACTGTTTCATGATATAGGTAAAAGTTGAAGTTTATGTGTTAGATATGTAATACATAAGAATTAAGTGGTATTCATGTAAATCTTCCATATGTAAAATGGGTTCTTGTATTTAGAAAATTGAAGTTTTGCATAGATATATCATGTCACGCAGCTTAACTTATGCTATTCATGTATTTCTCACTTGGTTTCCTTTCCTTATTTTCTTATAAAATTTTGATTGTAATATGATGGTGCCATTGTGATTCAATATGGTTGTGTATTGTCCATCTAATCATCCATTTGTTGAATGTTTTTATTTCTAACTGAATTTAAAGATAATATTTGTTTGAACGTTATGTTGCTTTTCAACAGTTTTTCATTAAATTGTAAGCGGCAAACCTCCAATTGAAAGTGATTTTTCATGTCCTTCTTTCTCCTATCTTTTATTTGTATTTATGAGAGTACTGATTGATAGGATACACATTTAGTACCACTATGAAATAGACATTTAAGAGAATTGTTATGCTTGGAACCTTTTCTGCATGGGTGTCAAAAATTCACCCAACTTGCCAACTCGATCAAAGCCCAACTTGAAAAAGTAATGTTCGGGTTGACCCAAATCATTTTTGGGTTGGGTTCAAGTTAGGAATTTTAACTCATTTAATTTTTTGAGTTTGGTTGACCTTTCCACCCAAATTGATATGCTAATCCAAAATTGACTCAAAATAAATATGCCAATTCAAAATTGACCCAAAATTGGCTTGAATTTTACCCAAAAAATGATTAAATATGACACAAATAGCTGTTATTCCTTAAGTTAAACATGTTTTATGTGTTGGGTTTGGGTTATTTCATTGAAAGTTGGTCATGTTCGGGTTGAATTTCTAACCTGTTTAATATTTGTTTCGAGTTGGTCTGGTTAATTTTTGGTCAGTTGCGAACCTGACCACAAACCCAATTTGAACCCCCTATTTTTGTGTTTGAAATGCCATTTGTTCCTTCAGTCCTTCTAGTCTTTACCATGGTTATTATTCTTTTCAAGCTTTTATTTTAATCTGAAGAATTTATTGATGAATGTTGGTAAGTAGTAGAACATTATTTATCTTATTCTTAAGTGTGCTTTTATGTGTATTAGATCTTTTTTAATTGTTTGTTTTATCCATAGTTTCCTTGACCATTTATAGTGAGATATCTCTCCTGCTTGCTAAGACTTTCTTCATGGGATTTTCACTCACTATACTGGCTTGCCTCGGACGTCTTCGAGTTCTTGTTCAACAGGTCAAGTGTTCTAAAACTTTCAGTTCAATTCTTGTCATGGAATTATTTTTCTCAAATGTCGTGTGCATGATTCTAAGAAAGATTAGTGGCTATTTGGGGTCACTTTTGTTTTTCTATTTTTATTTCGTCTTGTTTATGTTTAGATTTGAAATAGAATGTGTGATTTTTTTTATTAAAGTGTGATTGTATTTAAAAACAACTAAAAATTATTTTTTAGTTTTTCAAAAATATTTTAATTTATTTGTAGAAGCTAAACAAACATGTGTTTAAAAATAAAGAAAAAACGAATATAAAAACAAAAAGCAAAATTTATCCCAAAATAAGCCCTTAATGTATTGACTAAGTTTTTTTTTTTTCGTTTGCTGCACATAGATTATGACATATGTGATCTAATTTTTTCTTAAAAAAAGTATATCCAATTTATCTATCCTTTTGTTGACATGCACTAGAATATGCAGAATTCTATATTAATTGTTTTGATTTGCTTTTATTTATTTTCTTTATTTTCTTTTAATTCATTTTTATTTGTTTCCTTATTAATAGATCCTGTAATGGGTATTTGTACCCCTATTTGCATTAATAAGATCTTTTGGTTCTATTCTAACATGGTATCAGATTCATGGTCCTAACCTACCTGTCACTGACCCTCTCTGTGCTGCTAGTTGGCCAATACGAATTCCTTCTCCTCAGCCAGCAAGGTATGCTTTTGGCCACTCGCTTCAGCGTTTGCTTCCATCCAGACGATCAGATCCAGTGTGGGTAGTTTGGTCTACGTCGAGATAGATCCGCCTGCTTCAGTGTCGAGGAGTTCAGCCAAATCCAACGTGGGAAGTTTGGTCTGCTGGATTAAAGGATCTACTCCAGGCATCTACTTCCATCCAGCCGACTGCTTCCATCCAGCGTGGGAATTTTTGTCAGGTTCAAGACGGATCCTTTATCCTTGTCGTCGGCTACTTCAGGAGCTCTGTTTTGCTTTCCTAGAACCTTCTTCCAGCCGGCTCACGCTTTAGGTCGAATGAGAACCTTTCAAGCAACCAAAACTTTACGATGTCTCGCAACCTAACATCTCGTATGACTCAATCGGAGTCACGACAAACTCCTCGAACGTTAAGCCGTCAGCGAAAGATGTCTTGATTCCACCGGAGGATTAATTCAACCTCCGTTCTTCTGCAGATCGGAGGATATGAAAAGAATATGAACTTCTTGATTATAACCCATAAACTAAACGACAATAACTTTCACCAGTGGTCCTAATATGTGTCATTGTTCATCAAAGGGCGCGGGAAATTCAATCCTCTCACCGACATGATTCTTGAACCTTCAAAGAATGACCCAAGGTATGGAGCTTGAGAAGTGGAGAATTTCATGGCCATGTCGTGGCTAATCAACTCGTGGAGACTTTGATGGGCCGATCATACACGTTTCTTCCTTCCATTAGTGCCCTCTAGATGGCAGTCAATGATACCTACTAAAATATAGGGAGTTCCAGCCAACTCTATGAGATATCTAAGAAAATCCGTGAGACATAACAAGGATCAAGGACCATGATCCAGTACTACAATGATCTAGTTGCATTATGGATGAAATGCGACCTGCATTATGACTACACTTGGGAATCTCTAGCGGGCATATCCCTTTTCTAGAAAATTGTAGAAAAGGACCACGTGTTACAATTTTTGGCAGGTTTCAACAATGATTTTGATGAAAACCGGGGCCGTATCCTTAGCCGAGTTCCTCTTCCTTCTACTCGCTCCGCTTTCACTAAGATTCGTCGCAAAGTGAGTCGAAGACTTGTCATGCTTGGTGTATCCACTATGTCTGCCAAAGTATCCTCCTTGGTCTTTAATAGTGCTCAATCTCGGGCTGGTCACCCCACTTATGATTATTGTCACAAACTCAACCACACTCGTGATAAATGTCGGAAGCTTCATAGGAAACCTGCATCCAAACTTTTGGTCAAATCTTTTGTTGCCAAGGACCATTGATTTCATGTATGCTATCCATTCACATGTGCCAATAGCCATCCTTATTTGACACAATTAGAGGTGAAATCACATATAAATTAGTACTCTTAGGGACCAACCCGTTAGCCATTAAGTTTGTGACTTGCTTCTGCAACTTAGCGTTTTTGGCTGGTGCATTTGATAGACATGTTTTTTGGGATGAACCGAACTTCAATGAAATATATTATATTCAGGTGCCACAGACAATATGACTGGAATCTCTCAAGCTTTCTCAACATACCATCCTTTGATGGCTCCTAAAGTTTCATTGTTGGTGAAGGGTTTGTTGTTTTAATAACAAGTCTAACTTTGGAATTTATATTACATGTACGTTTGTTGAAATATAATATTTTATCTGTCAATAAATTGACATATGAATTGATTGCGTTGCTTATTTTTCCTCAGATGTCTGTCTCTTTCAGGATTGTTGTTCAGGGAGGATGATTGAAACTGCTAAGAGGGTTTGCGGGCTCTACTTCTTCCAAGAGAAAGCATAGAGAGAGAACGAGGACAATCTACTCAGTAGTTGCAGTTTATCTCAATCCATTGAATGTCCTATTATGTTGATATACTGTCATTTGGGTCATTCTAGTTTATAGTTCCTAAAATTTTTATATTCGTTGATTTATTGATAATAATCCTTCTAATTTCAAATGTGAAATATGCTAGTTAGCTAAACCTCATTTTGTTACTTATCCACCCCACAATTATAGATCTTCCGCTCCTTTCTCTCTTATTCACAGTGACTTATGAGGCCCCTCTCACACTCCTAGCTATACCATGTAAATGGCGATTTCTTATTTTGATTGATGACCACACTCGAATGATATGAGTCTATATTTTAAAAGATAAATCTGAAGCTGCTATCACTTTAAAAAACTTTAACATTTTCATTTTTACCCAATTCAAAACTTCTAATCAAGTCATTCATACTGACAATAATCGTAAATTTTTAACTCTATATTAGGAGAATTTTTGGTCAGTAAAAAAATCTTGGTAATTAAGAACATCTTTCATCACAACTCTTGTACCAACACTCAACAAAATGAGCTACTTGAGAGAAAAATTGACATTTCCTCGATGCACTTGCTCCATCTTATTTCGCTCTAATGTCTCAAGATATTTCTGGAATGATGTCGTTCTTATCGCCACATATCTCATCAATAGAGCTCCCTAAAAAATTCATAACTTCCATACCCCTTTAACTATCTTGAGATTGTGCTTTCCTGACAATCACTTCTCCATTTTATATCCCAAAATTTTTTGGGCACACAACCTTTGTTCGGATCACAATCTTAACTCAGAGTAAACTTGATTCCAGGTTTTTAAAATGTGTTTTTCTAGAACACTATGTCACTCAAAAGGAGTATCAGTGCCTTGATCCTACCACAAATAAGGTATATGTGAGTGTTGATGTCTCTTTTTTTGGAAGTGTTCCCTACTTTCTTACCCCAGCCTCAAGTGGCAGGGAGCTAGAGTTTTTGGACACAGTTCCTTACCCTCCTCCTGTGGATGTTCCCCCACGTCACCTACCATCGAGAAACCCTCTGTTTCTTTGGTTCCACTCAGTTTTCCTACCTCCGAGGAGCCCTCTGTCTCTTTGGTTCCACCAGCACATCCCCCCACTTTATGTCTATACTCGACACACTTGTTCTGATGCACATACTATGGAGCTCACTAACCCCTTGTTGGACCCTGAATCCCCTCCGGACGATATCCCCAGCACTGCTCCTCCAAATGAGGAAGTCAGTTCCTCTAGTAAAGTATGCAATCAATCATGTTCTCTTTATCACGTGGCAAACTATGTTTCTTTTCACAAATTATTACCAACCTACAGAACATTTGCTATGAGCAAGACCAATTATCAGCTTCTTTCTAGTATTGAGGTTGTCTTAGCAAACCCAATCTGGAAAGCCGTCGTCATAGAGGAGATGAATGCCCTTAAGCGGAACCATACTTGGGACATTGTTGATCTTCCTCGAGGCAAGAATGTAGTGGGTTGCCGATGAATTTTTAGCATTAAGTTTAAATTTGATGGATTCTTTGAACTTAACAAGACACGGTTGGTTGCCAAAGGATATTCACATACCTACGGAGTTGACTATGATCAGACATTTGCTCTAATTGCTAAGTTAAACACCATTTGGGTCCTCTTATCCATTACAGTGAATCTAGATTGACCCTTATACCAGCTTGATGTCAAAAATGCATTCCTGAATGACGACCTTACAAAGGAGGTATGCATGACTCTTCCCGCAGGCTTTGACTCCACTGCCTCCCAGGACAATTATATAAACTGTGAAAATCCTTCTATGGATTGTAGCAATCACCAAGAACATGGTTCAGGAAATTCAAAAGGTGGTGGTAGACGATGGATTCACCCAGGCTCAATCAAACCATACTTTCTTCTTCTGACATTTCTCTAGCAACCAGGTAGCGATCCTTATTTTCTGTGTTGACGATATTGTTCTCACAGGTAATGATCTACCAACATTGTAGTATCTGAAAGGAACGCTTGCTGTTTCCTTTAAAATGAAGGACTTCAGATCTCTGGTACTTCTTAGGCATGGAAGTTGCTCAATCGTCTCAGGGTAATTATCTGTCTCAGCTGAAATATTTGATTGACCTCTTGACAGAGAACAATCTTCTCCTCTTCAAATCACTAGCTATCTCGATGGGCCCCAATAAAAAACTGTTTGATGTTCTCAATGCAGTTCCTGTAAACAAGTGTCACTACTAGCGTCTTGTGGGGAAACCTCATCTACCTTGCTCATACACATTCCGACATATGCCACACAGTTAGTATAGTCGGTCAATTCATGCATGATTTCTATGAGAACCACCTCCAAGTTCATCGGATCTCCACTATTTAAAAGTCACACCAAACTCATGTTTGTTTTTTCCCCTCCACACTTCTCGTTCTATTGCACTTTACACAGACGCAGATTGGGCTGGGTTCATTTATGATCGGCGATCTACTTCGGGGTACTGCTCATTTGTGTGGGAAAACCTAGTTACGTGCAAAAGCAAAAAGTAGTCTATAGTTGTTTGGAGCAGTGCAGAAGCCGAATTTTGGTCTCTGTCTCTATGAATTTATGGAGCTCTCTGGTTACACATCATGTTTCACGAACTATGTATGATAGTCTCCGCTCCCTTACAGTTAGTCTATGATAACAAGACTATCATTAGCATTACTCACAACCCAATCCAACATGATCGCATCAGGCATGTTGAGATTGACCGACACTTTATTAAGGAAAAACTTGAGTCTAAAGAAATGTGTTCCGTTTGTGTCGTCTAGTGGTTAGTTGACAAATATTTTCACAAAGAACCTTCCTCAAATATAAGTTGAATATGACTAACATCTATGCTTCAACTTGAAGGGGAGTATTAGAAAATTAGAATATTAATATATAGAATTCTGTATTATTTATTTTTATTTGCTTTTATTTACTTTCCTTTTTTACTTTTATTTTGTTTTAATTTATTTCCTTACTAGTAGATCATTTAATGGATATTTATACCCCTCTTTGCATGAATAAGATTTCTTGATTTTATTCTAGCAACATGTAATATTTTGTTCTATATATGCGACTGTTACTTAGTGCTGCATTTAGGTATATCTTTGGCGCTGTAAATTTTAATTGGAATCTTTCATGTTGCACTTGTTATGTTTTGTCCAATTTTAAAAAGAGTACTTGTCTTTATCTTTTCTAATTTCATTTTTTTGAATGGTTTGACATAATATTTTATTTACAGATTTGAAAAAGTGAAATATATTTTCTATCTGAATTTGTTCATATCAGTTACATTAGGAAAAAAAAAAAAACTGATGTTTGAAGTCGGAACCCTTTTGTATTGTATCAGATTTTACTCGACGTGGTTTCTGTATTCAATATGGTATCAGCTCACTCTCAAAAGCATTCCCTGAAACTTTCTAGTGAAGGAATTGAGGTTAGTTATTATAAATACTCGATTTTAATAATTTTCATTTGGAAAATTTGCACGCATACCACTCAATTCCTTTGTATTTACATAACACCTAAACTATTGTTTACATATATGTCACTTTACCTATGCATGACATGGCGTATTTCAGTATTTTTGATGAGATATGAAGTATCTGGGTGGCATAATTGTAAAAAGTTAAGTTTAGGTGTTAGATATGTAAATACACAGGAATTGGCTGGTATGTATGTAAATGCCTCTTTTTATTTTAAGTGCACCATCATCATTATCATCTTTCAAATTCACAGCTCTGTCCCAACTACATCTCAAAACTACAATACTAAAAAAAATACCAAGGATTATCTGAAGTGTAGGCTCTTCAGTTGGGCTGTATGCTTGAGAAATGTTTTAGGGTTGATGCTGTAATATCAATACAATTGATTTTTTGTTTAAAACCGAAGATTCTCTAATTGTTCCATTACACTGATGCAGGCTTTTGTTGAATATTATTCTACCAGTGGTGATATTCTAACGTTGGAATGCACTTGGAAGGATGACAAATATGTGTTACACGAAGTTACACAATGTCGCAATGAAAATATCTCAAAAGAACAAGTAGCTTTGCCTTTCAACGCTCCAATTGAGTATCAAACTTTAGAATGTTTGGGCGAAGGTAATCATTTATTGGGAAATTTACACACTTAATTCTTATGTATTTACATATGATTTTTTATATTTACTTCAATAAGATTCATTATATAAAAAATATTGCTAATATATAACTTATCTAATCATGCATTTTTTTATGTCATTTAGATAATATGGTCTTATCTATACTTAAATTTAAAGGTTTAGGTGCTAGATATATAAATGCATACAATTTCAGCTTTAACGATGTAAATTTTGGAAATCTTCTAAATGCTTACGTGATTAGATTATTCTTAAAATAGCTAATTATGTTTTTGCCTTCCGCTTTCTGTTATTGTCACCTATACCTTACAGAAATCTACTGCTTGGTTTCAGGTTCATGCACTGATCAAGAAACAAAATTGCCTGTTTTGCAACCTCATACCCACTGCAGTATAAAGAGTGTAGATTTGAAAATATCTCCGGTTACAGGACCTGTTTGTGAACCTATTTCTGACAATGATTTGCAGAAAAGTTCAACAAGCCTAAAACCTCAAAGTAAATCAAGGAAGACAGTTGCATTTGTTGCTGTTCAAATCCCTAAAACCTCTGAAACAGAGCCGAGCGAACCGGTGAAGAAGAAGATGAGATTCGATTTACCTTTCAGTCAAAATTTTGATGATTCTACCACTGCTATTGATTCATTTCCAGATTTTCCCTTCAGTGGAGCTCAGAAAATGTCTTTGTTTTGAGTATTTCTTGAATTTTAATGAGATTTATAGCTCTGAGCGAAGGATTTTAGGAAGATTTACATACATATCACTCAATTCCTATGTATTTACATATCTAACATTTAAAATTCAATTTTTACAAATATACCGCCTTATATATGAATAGGTGCATTTCATGTTTTAGAAGTTAAAATAGTGATTTTTTTATATGATTTGAAAGATTTAGGTGGTATAAATGTAAAATGTAAATTTTTGTTGTTAGATATGTAAATGCATGAGAATCGGATTGTATTTATGTAAACGCAGCAATATGTTATTGTTTTACTGACTGATTATTGGTCCATATTTAAGGGAATTTACAGTATGTAAATGCTCTTTTCTCCTTGTCCTCTTCCCCTTTTGACAAGTTGAGTGGCACGTGAATGCCAATTTTTTGATGTAATTGAATAGGTTTGATTTATTCTTTAGTTTTTTAAAGATAATTTAAAACATAATTACTTTATTTATTTTATTTGGTTTTTTTGTGAGTTTCTTTTGACATTTCTTGCTTTTGGAACTGTGCTGGAGAAGAGATTTTCTGCTTATCTTTTCTATTACAAAAAGTGTTGTGATTCTCCTCAAGTTAAAGTCTCCAATTTCTATGTAATCTGTATTGTTAGATTTAGTCTGTGCTGTTTGATTGTCGCAATATTTACATACATACCAAATAATTCTTGTGTATTTATATATCTAACAACCCAAAGATAATTTTTACACTTATAACCCCCGTAGTGTTAAGCCTATGCATGAAAAAATGTATTTCTTTTTTAAAGTGATAATATTGTGATATTTTTGATGTGATGTAAATGATTTGAGCAGCATGCATGTAAATATGAATGTTTGGGCATTAGATAAATACAAGAGAATTGTGCGGTATATATGTAAATGCCCCTTGATTTTCTGATCAAGTTCTCTAACATTGCAAAGATGATAAAAACCCTGCAAATCCTTCACCGCGTGGATCCTCGGCCTGCATCATCGACTCCTCTGTTCTTTCTTCCATGTAATTTGCACCGCAATTTTTTCGCCAGGCTATGTTTTTCTTCATTCATGTTTCAGGAGATTCAAAGCACTGGCGATGCTGCCGGCTTCCTCGTAGTTTTATGAATATGCTTGCTATTGGTTGCTTATGCATTTGTTGATATTTTGGATGTTTTATAAGTTTAGTTCAATCAAATTCAATATTTGCTTTTCATATTATTAAATGTGTACCACAAAATCATTTATTAACTATAATTTTAAAACTTGTGAATGTATACCTTTACTTGATTACAGTTGCTATGAAATATTTAGGCGGTGGTGGTATAATTGTAAAAAATAAAATTTATATGTTAGATATGTAAATACGTAGGTATTAGGCGGTATGTGTGTGTAAAAGCCTAAAAAGTGAAACACACACATTTTCATGCATAAGCTTGAATAAGGGTTTATAACATTATGGTTACCATCATCCACATATTCTCTTGTTGAGTAGGGTTTATGATTATGATTCAAGAGATTGAAGAAAATTTTGATTCTTTAATAATTCAAACTTCATATATCTATAAAGAAAAAAAAAATCTTTTCATTTAAATTTAAATTTATAATTATAATAAATCCAAATTTAAAACTAATTATGTTTATTTTGCAATTATATTGTTATACAGTTTTTGATGATCCATTGTCAAATTTGGGAGAAAATATTCCGTCCGGATACCACATATTCGGATGACCAATCATCGAGCACCGAGTTATGATACACCTCATCGGCGGGCGATGTGGCGCCTGGTGATTGGCCGTCTGGATGACAAATTTGGACCATGACGTCAACTCAAATGTCATCAAAGATCTACAACTTAGAAACGCGAAACGTGAAGTTTTGTTATAAAGTACGATTTGAATTGAGAGTTGATAAAAAGAAATAATTCAAACTTATTGCGGTGTTATATAAATTTCCTAATCAAATGTTGAATATTTGAAAAATTTTTGTAATAAGTTATAATTAAATTGGTTTGATGTTGTAATTTTCACTTTTTTTAAGATTTGCATTATACAATTAAATGGGCTTGAGGAAAATAATATTGTTATGAGGGGAGATTTTTCTAGAGAGATGTCTTTTTCTGTTTATCACATACGTACATGAATTGTGACTATTGCAAAAAAAGTTATTGTCACGAAGTTTATGGCTCATGATAACCCAGATATAACCTCATTGTACTCCCTGAATAAAACCTGATGTACGCAGAGCTACGTACATCTCTTATTTAAGCAAATATTTTCCCATCGATCCACGACGAAGGGGAAGATGTAGAAATGATGAATGCTCAAAGCGCGCCTTTTGAAAACCAGAGATCGGCTTCTTCATCTCCTCCATCTTCAAACTTCCAACTGCTACACCCTCTTCCCCTCCCCATCACAACTTCTCCCGCCCGCTTCGTCTCCCTCGTCCACTCCTCTCGCTCCCTTCTCCACTTCAAGCAAATCCATGCCCATCTCCTCCGCCTCCACCTTCTCTCCGGCTCCTCGCCGGCCGCTGCGGCCATCATCGCCGCACCCCCTCCTCTCCGTTGCATCCCTTACATCCTCTCCCTCTTCCACCACCTCCCTTCCCCTCTCCCTTCTCCTCATCTCTTCAACGCCCTCATCCGCGCTCTCTCCGACTCCTCCCTTCACTCCGCCGCTCTATCATACCTCACCCTCATGCTCAGCTCCGGCCTTCAACCCGGCCGTCTCTCTCTCCCCTTCGCTCTCCGTTCCGCCGCCGCCCTTCGTTCCTCCGAATCCGCCGCCACCCTCCACTCCGCCGCTGCAAAATCCTGTCTTGATCTCGACCCATTCGTCCGCACCTCCCTCGCCGACGCATACGGTAAACTCGGTTCTCATCAACTTGCCCTCAAGGTGTTCGATGAAACGCCACAATGGCACCTTGCCTCCAATATCCTCATATGGAATGTTGCCATCACCGTCTGCTGCCGCTCTGGCCATATCGATAAAGCACGCAATCTGTTTGCTCAAATGCCTGAGAGAAACCTGGCTTCCTGGAATAGCATGATTAATGGCTTCATGAAGGCGGGCGACCTGGAATCCGCAGTCAATCTGTTTGAGAAAATGCCCGAGCAAAACGTGGTTTCCTGGACCACAATGTTATCGGGCTTCTCTCAAAATGACGACAATGAGAGCGCTTTAGCCATGTTCGAAACCATGTTGGAATCCGGCATGAAACCAAACAACTTCACCGTATCGGCCGCGCTATCTTCTTGCGCGAAGCTGGGCGCATTGAATATCGGATTTCGTATCCACGATTACTTGAAGACGAATGGATTCCTGGAAGATGGACCGATCGGCACTGCGCTTGTCGACATGTATTCCAAATGCGGAAAAGTTGAGCTCGCCAGCCATGTCTTCAATAGGATGAAGAAGAGAGATGTCGAAACTTGGACCGCCATGATCATGGGATGGGCCGTTCATGGATGCTGGAGCGAAGCAGTTCGATGTTTCGAGGATATGAACTGTTCCTGCATCGAGCCTGATGAAGGAGCTTTCCTCGCCATTCTGATGGCGTGTTCGCACGCCGGTAAGATCGATAAAGGTCTCGACTTTTTCGATAGCATGAAGTCCAGTTATCAGATCGAACCAGGCGTAAAACATTATACGTGTATCGTGGATATGTATGGCAGAGCTGGGATGGTTAACGAGGCGCTCGAGTTCCTGAACTCGATGCCTATTGAACCAGACTATGTTCTTTGGGGAGCACTCTTGTCTGCAAGTCGGGCGAACAAGAATGTCGAGATTGCCGAATTGGCCGCGGAGAAACTGTTAAAAATTAAACCTTTACATGCGGGAAGCCAAGTTTTTGTGTCTAACATGTATGCCGGCGCCGGAATGTGGGATTCTGTTGAGAAAGTGAGATCTGGTATGAAGGAGAAGAGCGTAAGTAAGGTGCCGGGATGGAGCTACATTGAGGTGAAGGGGAAAAGATGTCATTTTTATGCCGGCGATCAGTCTCATTCCTCATGGAGTGAAATTTTTACCAAGTTGGAAGAGTTGGTAGATCGAGCGAAGAAGGAGGGGTATGAGCCGGACATGGAATGGGTGCTTCATGACATTGAGGAAGAAGACAAAAGGGGTTCACTGGGATGCCACAGTGAGAAGCTTGCACTTGCCTTTGGGCTGATGAAACTGGGGGAGGAAGAAGGGATTAGGATAGTGAAGAATCTCAGAGTCTGTGGGGACTGTCATTCTTTGATGAAATTTACGAGTCGGATTTATGGGAAGGAGATTATGCTTCGAGATAATAAGCGTTTTCATCGATTTAGAGTGGGCGAGTGTTCATGTGGGGATTACTGGTAATCTGAATACTGATGCCGCTTCACAAAACATGCTTTTTAAAGAGTTGAGTTCACAAGGAGCAGCGGGTGCAGTTGTAAGTAGATCAATTTCCAGGTGCTTGTGGGCATGGTAAGTGTAAATAGGGTATTGAAATTCAGACCATTCTCATGAATCTGAAGAATTCAACTAAATTTCAGCTTTTTTATTGGAAGATTTACTTGCATATCACTCAATTCCTATCTATTCACTTATCGAACACCTATACTTCAATTTTTTTTTACTTACATGCCATATTACCACCTTACCTATACATGACAATGTGTATTTTACTTTTGTTTTTTAATTTAAAATGATGTTAATTCTGATGTGATATGAAAGATTTGGGCGGTATAAATGTAAATGGTGAAGTTTAGATGCTAGATATGTAAATACGTAGGAATTGAGTGGTATGTATGGAAATTCTTCTTTTTTTTTTAAATTTTTATACGATTATTTTCAGTGCATAATGGACATTGCACACTTCAATGATTATTTGGTATCAATTCTTCAAGTTATTCTTTTTTCTTGATTTATATTTTTTGCATTCGGAGGGACTTTATTGAAATTTTGTTCATAATTTTTCATTCTCCTCTCTGCATTAGTTTATATGTTCCTTCAATGAATTAATAATTTTTTTTTACATTTTTATGTTATTTTAGTTAGACATTGAAGATTCTTTCAAGTAAATTTTTAGTTGTACGTCGGAAAATGAATTTTTCAAGCTATCAAGGAAATCAACATGTAAAGTGGGTCTTCTGAGCCTATTGAATTGGGTCTTCTTATCATGAACCTGGAGCCTGCTCTTCTTTTAACTGATCATATTCATTGACTGCATCAATCGAAGCAGTGACCTTAAGAACTTTCTGTCAAGAGAACTCATCAAGTTCCTTCGTCGAGCTCACTTGAACTCATCAAGTTCCTTCGTCGAGCTCGCCCAAACTCATCAAGATCCTCTGCCGAGCTAACACATACTTGCCAAGCCAGTTCGCAGAGCTCGTCTGCACTTCTCAAGCTTCATCAACGAGGTCATTTACCGACTCTTCAAGTTCATTGATATGGTAGAAGGAAGGAGACTTTGGCTCATCTATGATGATATATTTTCAATGACAAATATCAATAGGTTGCGGACATTACTACCTATAATTTAACATTTTTTTATTCTTTTCTCTTTCTATAACCCTACGAGGGCCACCTTATGAGAGATATGAAAGAGAAAAAAAGAAAGGGGAAGGATTCTATCTCTCTTCACCTCCTCTACTCATCTCATGAGATCTCTTCTGGATTATATGAATTCACGAACTATACGGGACCGAGACCTCCGAAGAAGATTCAACAATAATGATGACTGCTCCCAAAGCAACTTTGTGTTCTCGGATTTAGAGTTTTCATGTTTTTTTTTGCAAATTATAAAATTCAAAATATCTTGATAATTGATATTTTGATGCCATCACATCTAGTGTCAGTGTCTCTTTTGAAATTTAAGGGAGCACTGAGGCTTACATAGCACTCAAGCTCCTTCAGTACATTGTCTTATCATCAAAATATCCTCATATCAAATTATCTCTTTTTATGTTACTTGGATTTCAATCGGCATTAATTAAATTTATATGGCTCTTTTTAAGAATTATGTTTCCATCACATTATAAAAATTCTACTGTTGGTCATTATTGAATGCCAAGATTATTGGGATTTTTTATCACTTTCTTAACAGTTAATATTTTCACTTCCCATCATCATGGGAGTTAGTGCGGTTTAGGGTCCATCCAAAAATTTGATAGTACAACATGAGTCATGGAATAGGATCTTGGTCGACCCTAACATTATGCATATTTAAAGCTTATGTGAAAGTTACTTGAATCTAACCTTGGGAGGGTCAACCTTGACCCTTATTCTTTTTTGAATGAATATATATATATATATATATATGTATTTCTTTTCCTCCTCTTGTGTTGCTTGGCTTTGTTAGTGACATGTTTAAAATGTGTGTTGTATTTGTCTATATTTTCTTATATTTTTATCTACTATTTGTACTCATTAATGCTTTTTTTAGATGTATTTATGTGCAATTTCAGAGCGTTTAAGAACGCATTAAAGAAGCATCGGAGCAAACTCAAAAGAAGCATCTCAATTTCCTGTTGTGTGGCATGGCTTTCACCACTTTAAGAACCTTGATGCTATATTTGCAGGCAGCAGGGGCCAGCTTCGGCTCTCACTCAGGTCCAGCCGAGAGAATAGAATAGTGGTGCCACTTATATGGCGCATAGCTGTTTGAAGCTGGCATAATTACACCACTTAGTGGCATATATACATCGACTCTCACCTAGGTCCAACTGAGAAGAGGAAATCCTATCGTCGCTTTTGCAGAAACCTGACACCACTTTCAAGTCTTAATTTGGCGATATTACAAAACAATGAACACCCTTGTGCCGCCTTGATGGAACCCCATGCCGATAAAGAAGTTGTGCTGGTTACCTCTTGTGTGGCAATCCATGGACATGTATGGAGTATTCAGGGGGGATAAGTAATGCTTACTGGTGTCCCTCATGTTCTTTGTCGGTGAAAGGGTGAAAGGGTGAAAGAGTGAAAGAGTGAAACTGTGTAAGGGAGAGAGTTGGAGAGATTGTGAGGGTGACTCTGAATTTGCATGGACAATTTGGGAGAATTGTCTGGTAGTCTTAGTGCTCATTAATGAACTACGAAGTGGAATGAAAAACGAACTTGCAAATCAAAGGTGTAATCCTTTCCTAGATTTTCTTTCTAAACTTGTGCAATATATTTGTTTTCGTTAATAACATTTATTTCATATTGTTTAAAAGCATGAATAGTCGCTAATTCTCATCTCTACTCTTATTTGGTGGGTAGAAGTTTTAGGATTTAATTATTGTGTGTGGGGCTTGCTTGAAACTTTGTTATGATGACGTTTTAACCTTCCAATTTTCATTTACATCAATCTGATCAGTTGGGTTGTTAAAACTCGTGATCTTTGAGTTTCTGACGAATCCTTAGTGAAACAATTATGTTAAAACTCATTAACTTTGGAGAATAGGAATATTTCTCTCAGGTTAATGCAATCTTATTGGGAAATACTGAGAGTTTGTATGAGGCAGCTGCAACTTATTAATAAAACAAATGTGAAGCCGTTGAAGAATAATATGATGTTAAAAAAATTGTGATAGCTATAACAATTTTTATTTTTGAAATAATTGAGCCTCAGCTAGAAAGCTATCACCGCACTTCTCCAAACCTGTGGGAAAATAGGGATTTCAACGACAGTTTTTTGAAAAAGCTGTTGAAATACAACTTACCCAAAATAACAAAACTGCAGTGCGGTGCTGCACCGCCGCCACAAACATACCCTAAATTTTGAGATTTTCATGAGAGGCTAAGAAAGAGATTTATTCTTGATTGTCATTATTAATTTTGTCACTTTATTAACCCTAGGTTCTTAGGACCCAAATCAGGAGAAATATTCTCGCTCATTTGAATACTTAACATATTTAAACTAGGATTTGCCTCTTTCCATAAATTAAGTTTAGATATCTTAAAAAATTATCAAAATTTGAATCTTCGGGTTGGACTCGAAACCAGTAGTTAGAACTTTTTCAGACTTTGGGAGTTTAAACATGGAGCTAGTTCTGTATATTATTTAGACAGCATGTATACTTAAGTGTATAGCTAGTGCTTTAAAACACTTGGTACGTATCGGTTAGCTTAAAGCAAATAGTTATTTTCTCTTCTTTTTAATTAAAAAAGAATGTCGCATCTGAAGAGTCAATGATCTTACTTGATTCCATTTTATGGAGGTGTTGTTCTTTTTATAATAATCAAAACCTAGATTTGGGAAATCTCTCAAATTATTAACTTGTCGAATAGCTCATATAAAGTAATTTATTCAAGCAATGCAAACTTGAACATCGATGTTCCTCATAAGGAGCTCCACATCATTAGTGAAGAGTTTATGTTCGGCTCTCTAAATAGCTCATGTTTTATTTGTTCGTTACTAAAGTGAGCCGAACATGAACAAGCTCAATTTATAAATGAGTCGAACATGAAACGAATCTTTGAGCGATCGAGCTCGGGTCATCTTTGTTTGAATTAATTAGATAATTTAATAAATAAATTTTTTATAATATTTTTCTATTAATTTTTTCATTATATTTAAAAAAAATATTACATTTTATTATTCTTTAAATCACTTGATCTAATTTCAAGCCATACACGAGCTAAAAACGAACAAATAAATTCAAATGGAGTCGTACACGAATATACCATTCATGAATCATTTTGAAAACTAACATATTTAGAAGAAAAAAATATAAATGAGTTGAACACGAACAAGCACTAAACTCGCCCAAACTCGACTCATTTACGATGTAGTGTGTTGAGATTTCATCATTTTGAGATATATTTGATAAAATATCATTCCTACTTTTCTTTTCAATTGTGGGATCCATGTTAGTTAATTTTTTTGTGGCAGTAACGGTGGTTTCTAGGAATATTATTTCAAGCTTTATAAATATTTAAATGGATCCATCAAACGACTTAACATATCTAGGGGTGTAAACGAGTCGAATACGAGCAGAGCCGTTTATATTTCGAGCTCGAAAAGTGTGTTCGTGTTCGGCTCGTTGCTTAGCGAGCGGAACACGAGCCGTTCAACGAATAAAGAGTTTTTCTTACAACCCTAATTACATAGCCATAAGATGTTGAGGCAAGATTTAAAACATCATTTGAATCTAATTTAATAATTTTTATTCTATTTTCTTAATTAATACTTTTAATTGATTATAAATCCTTATAGCCTTGTAGTCAATTAATTTTTTTTTAAAATGCTACTCATCAAATATATATAGTAGTATTTCGTGTCAAAACGAGCTGAACACAAACAAACAAATATTTGTTCGTGTTGTTCGTGTTTGACTCGTTAATCTAGCGAACGAGCCGAACATGAGTTTCTTAACAAGCCAAACACGAGTTATTCGCAAACAACGAACCATTTTGACAGCTCTAAACATATCGCTTAAAAATTGTATTATAAGCTTGTGGATGACATTATGGTAAGACACTGCTTGGTTTTTTATACGAGATAAAATAATAAAATATCGCAAACATAACCGTTTGGTCATGTTTTTATTTATTTATTTATTTATTTATTTTTGCATGATTGACCTTTTCACATTTGATTTTCTAAATTTCAAAAGTAACGGTTGTATTTTGACTCTATATTTTGTTAAAACTGAAGCTCCTCTAGTTCTTGAATAATTTTGAAAATTCTGACATTATATTTAATTATTTTTAAGTAAAAAAAAATATGTGAAAGAATTTTTATTTTATCAAATTATGTTATGAGGCATGTTCGACATGACATGTATAATTGAGATGGCATATAACTAATAGCATATAAATTTATTTGATATTCTATTTTAAACATTATGACATAGCTCCTCGCAAAGGTTCGCATGACTGACAACTTAGGGTCCGTTTGGGGCAGCTTATTAAGTGCGGTGGCGTTTTGAAAATTCCCATGGCCTGTTTGGGTAAATTGCGTTTTTGCAGTTTATGCGTTTTCAAAATGCTGAAAACAGCATTTTCACACCGCACCTATCTTAGTGCGGTGGCAGCTTTCTGGCAACAGCTTGGTTTTTTTAAAAAAATAAAAATTTGTAATAGCCACAACACCTAGTTTATCAGTAGATTATTTTTAATCAACTTATCAGCAGATTATTCAATAAGCTGCAGCTGCCCCAAACAGACCCTTAGTTATCATATTTACATTCTCCACTTGTATAGCACATATCCAGTAGGCCTCATGGGTCCAGAAGGCCCATCTTCACGAAAGTGGCTCTGCTCCAACCATTGAACTAACCTACAAATTGACTTGTCAAATTGGTAAGCTTGTTCCGCCTGAAGAACTGACCAAATAGGGTCACCAGTCTAGCTTGTCTCACTGACTATCCTCATACACAAAAGTCACCAAGTGACACATGTTGCGATCTTTTCAATGAGGCACTGTGGACGAATTTCATATGTTATGATTTATTTTATAATATTTTCCAAACATTTATAAAATGAGTGGGGATATACTCTATAGAGGATTTTTCGGATGATTTGATGTCATGATTCTCAAAGGTGCTCTTACCCCCCTCTCATTAAATCATCTTCTCCGATCTGCCAGAAGAGGATTGAAAAACGAAACACATAATTCAAGCCCAGAGAATACATTCATCTCATTCTTTCATCTTCCTTATATAGGTTTTTCTTGGGTTATATACATCCACGAACAATACATGACGCCGCATCCTAAAATAATTCAACACCATCATTTTGTTTAAGCTATTTAAGTGATTTTTAATTGAAAAAAATACAAAAACTTTTCAATATTTTTAAGGCATATTAATAT